CATCGCTCCAGTGGCTTCCTAATATCGGAAGAAAGAGCGTTCCAGACCGCCGCAGAAGTGCACTTGCCTATACGGGGGGTCTTTGTCTGTGCTCCGTGTGTGTGTGTCTGTGTGTGTCTGTACGTGTGTAGTTTGGATATAATTGAGGTCACTGGATCCGTAGCGCAGTGAGCGAACCACTGCGCCACTGCTCTACAAACACCACAAAGACAGAGCCCCCCCCCCCCCCCCCCCGTGTAGGCCTGAAACAGACTGTTGCGGCAATAGTCTGTTACACCTACACAGGCCGGCACGGTACACGTAGGGGTGGGTGGCCAGCACCACGCCCGGCCGCCTTTGTCTCCCCAGTGGCGATGTTTACACACCACACCAGGTACTCATTTGGGGCTGAGTCGGTCTAGGGGAGGCCCAGGACCCGTTCAGATAATCGTCACCGGTGTTGGCCGTGAGCAGGAATCGAACTCGGGTATTTGCGGGTTCACAGCGCAGCGCGCTAACCGCTGCACCACCGCTCCCCTCACACATGCACACAGTGACAAACACACAATGTGACACACATACACTGACACACGCAGTGACACACACAGTGACACACACACACTGGCACACACAAAGTGACACAAGAACAACAACAGCAACCGCCATTCGCCACTAAGTGGTGGCGATGTCACCATAGCGCTTGTGCCAGGTTATGTGCACGTTAAGGCGACGTGAAGTGTCGAACGCCCGCTGGCAGGAGGTCATGGGGCAGACCCAGGTGCTATGGGTCGACTGACTGAGATGACTGGCCGATGCACCACCTGTGCCCACTACTGTGGCAACTTGCTGTGTTAGCCACCCGGCATTCCGCTAGTTGTTGTGAGAATCCCTCTGCCCTCCATTGTTGCTGGAGGGCGACTGCCTCCAATTGGCCAGTAGCGTCCTTCACGAGCCTCCTGCATAAAAGCCAATCTTGACACCGCTGATACCAGTCATCGGCAAGTCCACTTAGCTCCACGTCCTCCTGTACCACGTGACTCCATCTCTTCTCAAGCCCGTGCCGTGCCCGTTTAGCTCCCTCTATCCGGCCAAACAAAAGCTGTTTAGGCATGCGGTGGCTGGAGATGCCACCGCATGCCTAAACAGCTACATGACCCAGCCAATGCAGCCTTGCCTACTGGAGGAACTCACCAATTGGACTCTGTCCAGATCTATCAAGGATTTGTGAGCTCCTCACACAATCCAGCCTGGTTAAACCCAGGATGGATCGTAGGCAGGCCAGCCTAAATGTTTCGAACCGGCGAAGATGTTCCATTAGGGGTGTCAACGTTTCGCAAGCATAGAGAAAGGAAGGCATGACTGTGGCCGAGAACACCCGAAGCTTCGTGTAGAGGGACAGACCAGGTAGCTTCCACACAGCGTTACGCAGCCGATGAAAAGAGAATGCTGCTCGGCTGATTCAGAGTGAAAACTCTACTGTCAAACTGGAGCCGGTTATGAGCACACTGCCCAAGTATAAAAACTCTCCACTCTCTCCACAACTGCCCCATCACTAATTGGGAGTTGTGGGGGTATAGTGTCTAATGGTACAAAATACCCAGGAAGGTGCTTAGTTTTGGTGGGGCTGATGGTCAGGCCCCACCTCTTAGTGGCATGCTCCAGGTTCAGCAGCAGCGCCTCCAACTCCTCCTCTGAGTGAGCAGCAATCACCAATCATCAGCATACATAACTTGGTTGACCAATAGGGAGCCATGCCTTGACCGCACCCGGGCATCGATTAGCCTTCCATTGTATCTGTACCAGATGAAACTTACTCCGGTATAGATGTAGTGGTGATACGCGTTGGCAGTAGGGATCGTGTGGCAGCGCGTGGTGATTGGCTGTGTGTCGGTGACGCGCGCTGACAGTGAGGGATCATAGGGCAGCGCGGGGTCATGGGTTATGTGGTGGTGATTGGCTGTGGGTTGGTGACGCGCGCTGACAGGGAGTGATCGTGTGGCAGCGCGGGGCGAGTGGTTGTGTGGTGGTAACACGCGCGGGGAAAACGGATCGTGTGGCAGCGCGTCGTGATTGGACGACTTGGGTGGGTGCTCACATCGCAGTCCGCATAGGCTCCGTCTCCTCGGGAGCGGAGGGCTATATAAGGCGATGCGCGCGGGCGCTCGGGGAGTTGGTGACCAGTGAAGACGGAAGACGGAGGAAGAAGAGATAGGGCCCTGAGACCCCGAGTCCCGCTGTCCTTGTAAGGACCGGGACCCTGTGTGGCTCAGAGGCGGGACCTTGGGACCCGGGGCCGGACGTCCGTGTGAGGGCCGGGCCACGCGACCCAGTGGTCGTGACCCATACCCAAGCTGGGGTGGGTCTGTAGGTTCCCCTGGAAGCTATGGGGCTGGAGAGCCCGTGTGTGTGTAGCCGGGTGGAACGTGTAGCGTGAGCTGTAGTGTCCACACGTGTTATTGTGCCCAAGGAAAGAGTTAATAAAGTGTGCTACCCGTCAAGTGGTCTCCCGCCATAATTTACAATATTACATAGACATTGAAGGCTTCACAAACTACGTGGTCAAAAAAGATGTTAAATAACGTGGGAGCCAAAGGGCATCCCTATCACACCCCAAGTTGAACAGGGAATGGCTCCGACTCCCGGCCACGTAGTTTAAACCAGGCCTATTCACCATCATGAAGGTCCTTAATGAGCGTGAGCTAAGAGTTAGGGACTCCGAAAGCATGAAGAACAACCCAGAGCCCAGGCCTACTGATGGTATCATCGGCCTTGACTATGATACCATAGTCAAGGCCATAGCGGGTAGTTTGTGATAAACTACCTCAGGGCGTGACGACTCTGCCTTACGCGAGTCCCAGGCACAGCTGGCCCGGCTGTCAGTACCTGGTAAGGGCCCCTCCCAGGGTTACGCGGTTTTCTCACTGCCTTGTGAGTGTCTCGGGAGTGTCTCGGGAGAGTCAATGGCTAAGGTATAAACCCCAACAGAAAATCAGGAGTGGGGCCCCTCAGGCGGTTTTGTGACGCACAGCGACACATTCCCGGCAGCCCCTGCAGCCAAACTGGTACCAAACGTCGTGCTACGCACTCCTTTGGACATCACCAGCAAGGCCGAGGGGGGGATCCTGACACATGGGCAACTCAGGATTTCCAGAATAACCTGCCCGGGCTTTGCGCCAACAAGAGGTGCAAATATGGGGAGAGGATACTTCTCGGCCACCTAATCGTGGCCAAGAAACACGGATGGCAGCAGTCACGGGTTATAAGCTCATTTTAGATTGGCGTAAAAAATGGGTGCCACGGGTTGCCATGGTCGGTGGGAGGGGTCATTACACCCCAATGGATAGCTACCGCCCGCCTCAAGCTGGGCAGCCCCCCGGCCAATAAGGTGCTTTCCTGCCATGGCTCACCTGCTCCAATGGGTGCTTGGAGCGTATGGTTTATCACCAGACGAGTGGGCTGCAACACCTGCAGTAGACAAAAGCAAAATAAAACTAAAGAAGGTTCCAGCCCTTCATTTTGCAAGCTGGAATGTACGTGCAATGTGTTCTGGACTCTCCGAAGATCTATTGCAGATTGAGGACATCCGCAAGACTGCAGTTATCGACAGGGAGCTGGCGAGACTCTATGTGGATAATGCAGCACTGCAGGAGACCCGGCTTGCTGGCAGTGGCTCACTACGAGAGAGTGACTACACTTTCTACTGGCAAGGAAAACAGCAGAACGAACCAAGGCAACACGGCGTTGGGTTCGTCATCAAAAACACTCCTTGGCGTGATGGAGCCACCGACTTCAGGCTCCGAGTGGATTCTGTTCATGAGACTTCTCACTGCTTCTGACCATGTAAACATCCTGAGTGTCTACGCCCCAACACTCTACTCACCTCCGGAGATTCAAGACCAGTTCTATGAAGAGCTTCATAATATTAGTCGCAAAATCCCCAGCTCTGAGCACATGTTTCTGTTGGAAGACTTCAATGCAAGGGTTGGGGCTGATCATGACGTGTAGCCCGCATGCCACGGCATCGGAAAGATGAATGCCAGTGGGCAAAGACTACCGGAGCTTTGTTCATACCACAATCTCTGTATCACAACCTCATTCTTTCTCACTAAACCATGCCATAAAGTATCATGGAGACATCCAAGGTCTCTTCATTGGCACCAACTGGAGCTCGTCATCACCCAACGAGCCCTCCTCAACTCAGTACTCATCACACGCAGCTACCACAGTGCAGTCTGTGAGGCATCGATCACTCGCTGGTATCCAGCAAGGTCAGACTACGGCCAAAAAAGATACACCGCCTCAAACAAAAGCGCTACCTACGCATGAGGGGAATGGCCAATTGAAATGAGCCCTCCCCTCATGGTACTACTCACCACAGCGTTACCGTCCGGCACCAACACAGTGACAACAACCGCCATTCGCCACTAAGTGGCGGTGACCTCACCACGACGCTTGTGCCAGGCCATGTGCACCTTGAGGCCACGTGAAGTGTCGAACGCCCGCTGGCAGGTCACGGGGCAGACCCAGCAGGTGCCACGGGTCGACTGACTGAGATGACCGAGATGACTGGCTGATGCACCACCTGTGCCCCTTACTGTGCCAACTTGCTGTGCTTTAGCCACCCGGCGCTCCGCTCGTTGTTGTGAGCAACGCTCCTCCGCCCTCCGTTGTTGTTGGAGGGCGACTGCCTCCAACTGCCCAGTAGCGTCCTTCACGAGCCTCCTCCACAGAGGCCGATCTTGACACCACTGGTACCAGTCATCGGCAAGTCCACTCAGCTCCACGTCCTCCTGTACCACATCACTCCATCTCTTCTCTAGCCCGTGCTGCGCTCGTTTAGCCCCCTCGATCCGGCCGAACAAAAGCTGTTTAGGCATGCGGTGGCTGGGCATATGGGCGACATGACCCAGCCAACGCAGCCTTGCCTGCCGGAGGAGCTCACCGATGGGACTTTGCCCAGATCATACATACAGTAACACAGTGCCAGACACACAGGATTATGCAAAATACCATTTGGACCCTTCATTTAATTCGTCGATTTAATCATTTAAAAATCCAAATCAAACTCCACAATCGTTTCTCTCCTCCATAAATATCTGCGAACACAAATCAACTTACATTTTTGATTCGAAACGCTCCGAAAATAGCAAGCACGTTCACAACATTCTCGAATAACATTTAGAATTTGGTGGAACATTAAAAAAAGATTCCCTTCCCAAAGCAAGATTGGCGGCCATGATAAATGTTCCGACAGTTTTTAATATATTTGTTTAAACGTTTACATCATATCCTAGCATACCGGGACAGCAGCAGCAGCACTGTGTCCAGGAACTCAATGCCAATGTGGAGACCTCTATGGGCATCTCTGAGTCTATATGGATCTCTATACATATCGATGAGTCTCTATCCCTCGTGTCACTATGGGTCTTTATGTATTTCTATGTATTCTATGTATCTCTATGTGTCTCTATGTGTCTCTATGTGTCTCGATGCATCTCTATCATTGCGTATGATGGTAGCGGTGACCAGGCGCTCGATGATGGCAATGTGGAGGTGGTGCTGCTTCTGCTGCTGCTCGCCACGACAAGATGGCTTCAGCAGAGTGACTTTGTCTTCCCGTGGTCTTCCTCCGTTGAAGCAGCTCAGACCACTTCGGTTTCATTCATTCGACCCAGAGGCGGTGGGGGGGGGGAGGTCGGCGACGAGCATAACCAGAATGGACATTTTCTTTATTTCGAGATTCGGTAACATACCCAAAAAATCTCTCCCACGCGCAATGTCGCCATGGAGCGGCGCTTTGGAGGGAGTCCGCTCGCCGCCTCGGCGCTGCAGGTTGCCGAGCCCTCGATGAGACCAACGCGGAGACCGCTGGGCCCATCGGCGAACACTGCTCATGGACTTACACCCTTACATCATATTACATCCTTACATCATATTACACCATTACATCCTATTACACCCTTATCCTATTACACCCTTACATCATATTACATACCTACATCCTATTACATCCTTACATCATATTACACCATTACATCCTATTACACCCTTATCCTATTACACCCTTACATCATATTACACCCTTACATCATATTACATACCTACATCCTATTACACCCTTACATCATATTACACCCTTACATCATATTACATCCCTACATCATATTACAGCCCTACATCCTATTACACCATTACACCCTATTACACCCTACAACCTATTACATCCTACATACGATTAGATCCTTACATTCCATTACCATCCTTACATCCTATTACACCCTTACATCATATTACATCCTTACACCCTATTACACTCGAAATCCTATTACACCCTACATCCTATTCTCAGCTGTTCAGGAGATACAGATGCCACTGTGGAGGTTTGCCGCCGCCGCTGCTGCTGCTAGCCACAAGGAGAGAGCTTCAGAGAGAGAGAGAGAGAGGAGTCCCGTGCCGTTCCGCTGTTGAAAGAGCGCAGACCACGTTGGGTTTATGATGTTGGTCGATAGTTTGGGTTGCATGGTCACAATCGCACTGCTGTGGGCTTGTCTTTAATACTTCTCTATTACCTACCTCGCCTGGTATGCAGGAAGTTGTGGGTTGGATCCCGACCCTGATGCCTGCTTTATATTTGTAGTTTACGTGTCTCTCTCTCGCTCATCATCATCACGGTGGCTAGGAGATGTTAACTACCTCGCCTGGTATACAGGAAGTTGTGGGTTGGATCCCGACCCTGATGCCTGCTTTATATTTGGAGTTTACGTGTCTCTCTCTCGCTCATCATCATCACGGTGGCTAGGAGATGTTAACTACCTCGCCTGGTATACAGGAAGTTGTGGGTTGGATCCCGACCCTGATGCCTGCTTTATATTTGTAGTTTACGTGTCTCTCTCTCGCTCATCATCACGGTGGCTAGGAGATGTTAACTACCTCGCCTGGTATACAGGAAGTTGTGGGTTCGATCCCGACCCCGATGCCTGCTTTATATTTGGAGTTTACGTGTCTCTCTCTCTCATCATCATCACGGTGGCTAGGAGATGTTAACTACCTCGCCTGGTATACAGGAAGTTGTGGGTTGGATCCCGACCCTGATGCCTGCTTTATATTTGTAGTTTACGTGTCTCTCTCTCATCATCATCATCATCACGGTGGCTAGGAGATGTTAACTACCTCGCCTGGTATACAGGGGGTCGTGGGTTCGATCCTGACCCCGACGCCTGCTGTATATTTGTAGTTTGCGTGTCTCTCTCTCATCATCATCACGGTGGCTAGGAGATGTTAACTACCTCGCCTGGTCTACAGGAGGTCGTGGGTTCGATCCTGACCGACGCCTGCTGCTGTATATTTGGAGTTTGCGTGTCTCTCTCTCCCAGTAGCCGCATGGATTTTTCTCCGGGTCCTCCGGGTTTCCCCTTCACATTTAGAATCAACATCCGGCGTTCAGAGTTATTTGGCTACTGCTATGAATTTTCACGCGATGATTACGATGATCATATCACTTGTGATAGCCAGATGGTCGCTTTTGAAAAAGAGCTACACGGCTCAGTGGGGGGCTTACACTTGGTACAAATAAAAAGAATAAACAGTTTAGTAGTTTAGTTTAGGATGGCAAGTAGCAGTGTTATCTCTTTAAGCGTAATCCAGCGCGACCGCAGTATTGGACCGGGGCGACCTTCGTGCCGGCGTTCAAATGTGTTCCCGGGGTCGTTGCACGGAAGCGTGGAGAAGGTAAGAGCTGCGAGGAATTGGCAGGGGTGTTGCGATAGGTTCGGAGGCCCGACATTCGTTTTGTTTTCAATCACGCGACTGATCGTTAACATTAATATTCGGCGCGAACTCCAAGTTGTCGGACGGGTCGCCGTAGCCGAGTCACGCCGATGCTCAACGGTCGCTTGGGCGTGCGCGAAATCCTGGGGTGTGCGGATGATATATCAAAGGTCGTGCTTGTTACCACCACCAAGATTTCTACAGCTTCACTCCACTCGATTCGCAAACCACCCCCGAGGGCGAAACAATTTGTCCGTGAGTTTTACTGCGGCAATGCTGTGGGGACAGTGAATTATCACGTGTGTTTTAAACGGAGCGGATGAACGGGGTCCGGTTGTAGATGGGTGTGGGCTACCTATGGGAGACATCACGGGCAGGAGAAGGCAACCTCTCAAGACCAGAAGAGCGGACAACTGCAACCGTTAAATAGATCGCCCTGAATAAAGTACGTTGAACTTTTTTCGCACCGTACGTAGCCAACCGTGCTAATCGGAGGTGCGTGGTGGAAAGGACAACAAACTAAACACAACGACAGCAACAACAACAACACCGTTATTTTACTTCGCAACTCACAAATACCGGGACTTCATCTTTCCGGTTAAGGGATGAGTGACAAGATTTCCTGGCCATGGCCGCCCGCCTCCTCAAACACACCGAGGGCCGTGACCGGGGGCCGTGCCATGGGCCAGCGCCGGCCCCGAGGTGCGGCTCACGAGTCGAGCGCCGCTATTGGCTCTGCGTTTCCGCTGTAGAAGTTGAGGCCGTGGGGGGCCGTCGCCGGCTTGGTGGCGTCGCCGAGTCCGGCGCGCTTCTCCGCCCGTCCGGAGATGCGTGCCCGTCAGCCGAAGGGCGCCCTGGCCCCGCTCGGCCCCGAGCCAGATTATGCCGCCACCCCCATCCCCCCCCCCCCCCCCTTTGGTACGGAAAAAAACAGCCCTGGAGCTCCCCATGCCGGCTCGGCTTGCCGTGTGCCAGTGGGGGAGGAGAGGGGGAAAGAATAACATTGAGAAAACGATCCCTGGCAAAACCAGGACAGGTGGCAACCCTTCCCCTAGCCACAGGAAGTACTTCACCCACGACTTCCTGTCGGCTAATTCCCCACGGCGCCCCCCCCACCCCATGCCCCCCACCCCCCGCCACCCCCACCTAGAACTTGCTGAAGAGCTCCTTCTTCTTGCTCCAGTCCATGGGCGGAGCACGCTTGTTCCTCCTCTTGGCCTGGGCACGTTCCCGCGCAGCTTCCAGCGTCAGAGCGAGCGCCGGGGACCCCCCCAGGGACCCCCCCAGGGACCCCTCCGGGGATCCCCCCGGGCTGCCGCTCGGCCCCGGGAATGGGGGGCAGAGCTCAGAGTTCTGCACTGTGGGGGGCTCGGTCTGCCGCCCCCTCCTCTCCTGCGCCTCCCTCTCCTGCCTCTCCTGCCTCTCCTCTCTCTCCTCCCTCTCCTGCCTCTCCTGCCTCTCCTCCCTCTCCTGCCTCTCCTCCCTCTCCTCCCTCTCCTGCCTCTCCTTTCTCTCCCTCTCCTCCCGCTCCTCTTCACGGTCACTTTCATCGTCACCGCTCTCCTCCCTCTTCACCATCTTACTCTCCTCCCTCTCCCTCTCCTCTCTCTCCTCTTTTTTCCTCTCCTCCCTCTCCCTCTCCTCCCTCTCCCTCTCCTCCCTCTCCTCTTTTTTCCTCTGCTCCCTCTCCTCCTTCTCTCTCTCCTCTCTCTCCCTCTCCTCCCTCTCCTCTCTCTCCTTTATCTCCCTCTTCTCCTTCTCCTCGTGCTCCTCTCTCTCCCTCTTGCTGTCCACCTGCGTGCACAGAAACCAAACAGAGGCATCCATCACCGAGCACCAGGGTGACAGCGCCGCGGCACAGTGGCTAGGAGATGTTAACGATCTCGCCTGGCATGCAGGAGGGTCCTGGGTTCGATTCCGACCCTGACGCCTGCTGTATTTTCGGAGTTTGTGTGTCTGTATCTCTCCCCGCGGTTGCGTGGATTTTTCTCCGGGTCCTCCGGTATTTCCCTCCACGTTTAGAATCAATGTGAGTATTCGGCTGCTATAAATGTCCACACAATGATGATCGGCCCACTTCGGTTGAGCTATTACTTGTGATAGCCAGGTCGCTTCTGAAACAAAGATCTGCGTAGCTCAGTGTGGGGGTCATTACCTGGTGAAATAAAAATATATATTATTTTTTAGCTTTAACCTCAAAGCAACAAGCGGCTGGGTTATACTCACGACCGGGGCGCTGCTTTTCTGTCGGGAATTTGTACGTTCTCCCTCCGCGGACCGGGAGCGAGCGAGCAAATGACGGGTATTCTTAGGTTTTTTCGGTAAAGTCACGTAGGTAAAACATCAAAACATACACTATGGGGACCTCATTTGCCAGAAAAAATATGATAATTGTTTTTTTACCCTTCTATCTGGCAACAAAACTGACACCTTTTTTCAAGGAGTCATGTTTGCATAGACCGCAATACCTGCAGTCATAATACAAACAAAAGAACATAACTCTGATAATGTGCACTGTCCTTGAAGTTGATTGGTCCACACCCGAGACAGCTTTCCTTCGAGCCTAGTCTCATATGGGTTGGACCAGATGACGCCAAAAGGCGCACAACTCAAGGACAATGCACCATCAGAGTATGAGAGCTCGGGGCAAGCATCTACACTATGGGGACCTCATTTGCCAGTAAAAATATGATAATTGGTTTTTTACCCTTCTATCTGGCAACAAAACTGACACCTTTTTTCAAGGAGTCATGTTTGCATAGACCGCAATACCTGCAGTCATAATACAAACAAAAGAACATAACTCTGATAATGTGCACTGTCCTTGAAGTTGATTGGTCCACACCCGAGACAGCTTTCCTTCGAGCCTAGTCTCATATGGAAAAAGGTGTCAGTTTTGTTGCCAGATAGAAGGGTAAAAAAACAATTATCATATTTTTACTGGCAAATGAGGTCCCCATAGTGTAGATGCTTGCCCCGAGCTCTCATACTCTGATGGTGCATTGTCCTTGAGTTGTGTGCCTTTTGGCGTCATCTGGTCCAACCCATATGAGACTAGGCTCGAAGGAAAGCTGTCTCGGGTGTGGACCAATCAACTTCAAGGACAGTGCACATTATCAGAGTTATGTTCTTTTGTTTGTATTATGACTGCAGGTATTGCGGTCTATGCAAACATGACTCCTTGAAAAAAAAGGTGTCAGTTTTGTTGCCAGATAGAAGGGTAAAAAACCAATTATCATATTTTTACTGGCAAATGAGGTCCCCATAGTGTAGATGCTTGCCCCGAGCTCTCATACTCTGATGGTGCATTGTCCTTGAGTTGTGCGCCTTTTGGCGTCATCTGGTCCAACCCATATGAGACTAGGCTCGAAGGAAAGCTGTCTCGGGTGTGGACCAATCAACTTCAAGGACAGTGCACATTATCAGAGTTATGTTCTTTTGTTTGTATTATGACTGCAGGTATTGCGGTCTATGCAAACATGACTCCTTGAAAAAAGGTGTCAGTTTTGTTGCCAGATAGAAGGGTAAAAAACCAATTATCAAAACATACCTACGTGACTTTACCGAAAAAACCTAAAAATATGAATCCTTGCAGTCACGAAAGCTTCAAATCTAGAATCAAACGACGGGTGTCCGATCCGGCCTGGAGCCTTCTCAAGGTCGGCCGACTCGGCCTTAAAGGGAGTACCCGGGCATAGTGTGTAAGGACCAGTAATGGGGAGACAAAGGCGGCCCGGGCGTGGCGTTGGCCACCCAACGCCCCTCGTGTGCTGCAGTGCCCGGCCTTCATTAGGCGCCGCTGCTGCTGCTGCTAACAGCACTTGCCCCAGCAGCCTGTCGACGTCTACGCAGAAGGGGATCTCTGTGTCAACGAGTGGCGTTTGCGCATTCTCTCTCGCTCGCTCTCATTGCGCTGGGCGGGTTTCCTCCGGGATCTCCGGCTCCGTCCCCAGTAGCTGTGCGAAAACTCAAGAAGAAGGCGCGCGGGTCTGCACTTTTATTTTTGGCCAAATTCCATCTGTGAGAATAAAAAAAACGAGAATCCGGTCGTCACGCCACAGAGACGCACGCCGCTTTTCTCGTGCGGAGCGAGTTGGGGAAAGTGCTGCCCCCTGCTGCTGCTGCTGCAGCAGCTGCGTGGACCGGATCTGGCAATGTCAGCTGTCGCGGGGAACCTCCCAGATTCCCAAACGGATTTCCCCGTTGACAAAGACATAGAAAATATATAACGACGACGATGATGATTGTACTCTTTGGTTCTTTCGGTAAAGTCACGTGGGTATAAAATAAAATAAATTAAATGACGACGTTCCCGGGCGCAACACAAGCGTCCGTCATCAGGTGGGACAACCGCAGCAAAAAACAATTGTCAAGTACGGAAGGCCCTGCACTCCAGCAGTAATGTCAAGTACGGAAGGCCCTGCACTCCAGCAGTAATGTCAAGTACGGAAGGCCCTGCACTCTAGCAATTGTTTCTTGCTGTGGCTGTCCCATCTGATGACGGACGATTGTGTTGCGCCCGAAACGTCGTCATTTAATTTATTTTATTTTATACCCACGTGACTTTACCGAAAGAACCAAAGAGTATGGATCCCTGCAGTCACGAGAACTTCAAATCCAGATTGATGATGATTGTGGCGATGATGAGTAAAGGAGGTTCTCGAAGTGTCGCGAGTCGATTGGTTGTCAGCCTGGACACATCCGCCAGGGATGGCCTCAAGGAGCCGTGGGCTGCAGTTGGGCTCGACGCTCTCAGGAATTCCCAACGAGATTTCATTTTCATCGCGAGAAAACTTCACGGCCAGATGAGCAAATCGCGGGAAACGGGCGGAATGACATCGTCGGGAGCCAAGCAGGGTTTGAGCCTGGATAGCGCTTGGACGGACGACCGCAACGACCACCACGACCAACACCGCCAGGACCACGCCCGACCGCCGCACCAGGCACTCATTTGAGGCTGAGTCGACCTAGGAGAGGCCCAGGACGGGAATTTAACTCGGGTGTCCGGGTTCGTAGCGAGGCACGCTAACCGCTGCACCGCCGCTCACAGCGATGCGCAAGATACGCGGACGCAGCGCAGGAAAGGGGACGTTAGACGACCTACCTCGGTGTCAGATGTTCCGTTTGGACAGAGGTTTGGGCAGGCGACCTGCAAATGGGAAAAAAACCGCCAAAGGCGCGGTAATTTAACGGCGCGGGTGGGAGGCCCGCGAGCACACCGGCAGAGCGAACACAGAAGATCCCCGCGGAGTTTAACACGGTGGAGTAAGCCCGGAGTGCACGTGTCGCGTGTTATTTTAACTCTCCGACGCGCGACCGCGCTGCGCCTAAGCCGTGAGCGAAACGGCGTGGAGTTTCGTTCATTTTACGAACCCCCGCCAATTGGCTGTGTTGGAGTCGGTGGCGGGTTTAGCGGCACAATTATATATTTACGCGACCGAACCCAAAACAACCTCTATTATGGATGATATTGGTAGCCAAAGCCGACGACACGTTCGCGTGCCTACGCCGACCGGTTGGCTACGGTTTGCCGCGGCGGCCATTGCGGTCGCCCGGCGCTGCCGCCGCTCGCTACAAACAGCGAGGAGCCCTCCAACGGCCTGGCAAACACGGCTCCACCGAGTCGGCTCCACCGAGCAAACTCCTCCGGTCTCACGCGGTCGCCCGCACGAGGGCTCACGATGGCCACTCGTGCACAGCGGGGGGTGGCAGGGGGTGGGGGGGGGCAGCAGGGGGCAGCCTTGGCAACAGCGCCCATAGTTATGGGGTCGAACCCATGCATCGAGGCACGCACGCACACATACACACGCGCGCACACGCACGGACACACACGCGCACAAATGCACATGCATGCACACAAACGCACACAACCACACGTACCACACGCATGCACGCGCACACACGCGCGCACACGCATGCACGCGCACACACATGCATATAGGCATGCACAACCCACACCACACGCACGTACGCATGCACACACGCACCCACACACGCACGCACACGCATGCACGCGCACACACATGCATATAGGCACGCACAACCCACACCACACGCACGTACGCACGCACACACGCACCCACACACGCACGCACGCACACACGCGCACGGACGCGCATGCATGCACGCGCGCACTCGCATGCACACACCCACGCATACACACACACGCACGCACCACATGCACACGCGCACACACGCATCACATGCACACGCGCACACACGCACCACATGCACACGTGCACACACGCACGTGGCTCGGCATGTTTAAGCACATGGACGCAAGCTTGCTGTTGAACCCAGCTTATAGCAGTGCAATGCGATAATTGTATTGCAGAGCATGACGTAATGCACTACAATGAACTACCGCGCACTACAATGAACTGCATTGACATGCGCAGTAGTCCATTGTATTGTATTGCAGTGAATTTTATTACATTGCAATGTGTTACATTGTAGACACAATGTTTGTATGACATTGCATTGCCGTGTACTGCAACATCGCATTGCATTACATCGCACTGCAATGCAAGTAACACCACCACCACGCGTCACACCACCACCACGTGTGACACCACCACGTGTCACACCACCACCACGTGTCACACAGCGCGTCACACAGCATGTCACACCACCACCACGAGTCACACAGCGCATCACACCACCACCACACGTCACACCACCACGTGTCACACAACACGTCACACCACCACCACGTGTGACACCACCACCACGCGTCATACAGCGCATCACACAGCATGTCACACCAAGCGTCACACCACCACCACGAGTCACACCATCACGTGTCACACAGCACGTCGCACCACCACCACGTGTCACACCACCACCACCACGTGTCACACAGCACGTCACACCAAGCCGTCACACAGCGTGTGACACAGCACGTCACAACACGCGTCACATAACCACCACGTGTGACACGGCGAGTCACACCGTGCGTCACACCATGCGCCACACCGCGCTGACCTTTCACGTGGCTGGGCGTCGGCTCGACTCCGCACTTGGCGAAGAAGTCGTCGGCAACGCGGTCGACCAGCAGCAGCGTGACGTCGTCCTTCCTGGCCTTCACCAGGGCCACCACCTGCGAGTGCTTCTTGCCCGCGATGCTCTGCCCGTTCACCTGCACGGGCGGCGCGCGCTTAGCCAGGGGCACCCGTTTACTCCGCCGGTTAACGGCGCGACAACAGCGGCGATGACGATGATGATGAAGACAACGACATTAATTATGATGACGATGACGACGATGATGACAATGATGATGACGAAGAAGACGACGATGATGTTGACAAGAATAGCATCAATGATGATGATGATGACGACGACAATGATGATGATGACTATGACGTCAACAACAAGAACATAAATTATGATGACGACGATGATGACAATGATGATGACGAAGAAGACGACGATGATGTTGACAAGAATAGCATCAATGATGATGATGATGACGACGACGACGATAATGATGATGATGATGATGAAGAAGATGACGATGATGTCGACAACAATAACACCGACGATGATGGCGACACAGAGGGATGAGGCCTCGCGAGAGAAAGAGCGAAGGGGCTTCAAGGCCTCGGGGCACGGCCAGGCACCAACATCGCATCACCACCGACCCATTGTCCCACCGCAGGCTCCAGACTCAGGCCTCAGCCATTTCGGCGGGCAAGGCCCCACGGAGCTGAGGAGCAGCTCCGTCAAGCCGAAAACCGCAGTGAAAAAAAAAAACGATGGCTTGAACCTTGACCCTGCGCTTAATTATTTGGCTAAATTCCAGCTCTGAGAATTACAAATATTGGGTCGACTGTCACACGATGAGCGGTCGGTTACTCTCGGTATTGCCAAGTGGGCGGGCAAGTTCTGCCCTCTACCTTGTGGATCAAAAATCACTTGACTGGATCTCGGCTCCAGGAGACCGGGTCTCAGTGTCTTGAGACTCGGCTCCAGGAGACCGAGTCTCAGTGTCTTGAGACTCGGCTCCAGGAGACCGAGTCTCAGTGTCTTGAGACTCGGCTCCAGGAGACCGGGTCTCAGTGTCTTGAGACTCGGCTCCAGGAGACCGAGTCTCAGTGTCTTGAGACTCGGCTCCAGGAGACCGAGTCTCAGTGTCTTGAGACTCGGCTCCAGGAGACCGGGTCTCAGTGTCTTGAGACTCGGCTCCAGGAGACCGAGTCTCAGTGTCTTGAGACTCGGCTCCAGGAGACCGAGTCTCAGTGTCTTGAGACTCGGCTCCAGGAGACCGGGTCTCAGTGTCTTGAGACTCGGCTCCAGGAGACCGGGTCTCAGTGTCTTGAGACTCGGCTCCAGGAGACCGGGTCTCAGGGTCTTGAGACTCGGCTCCAGGAGACCGGGTCTCAGGGTCTTGAGACTCGGCTCCAAGAGACCGGGTCTCAGGGTCTTGAGACTCGGCTCCAGGAGACCGAGTCTCAGTGTCTTGAGATTCGGCTCCAGGAGACCGAGTCTCAGTGTCTTGAGATTCGGCTCCAGGAGACCGGGTCTCAGGGTCTTGAGACTCGGCTCCAGGAGACCGAGTCTCAGTGTCTTGAGACTCGGCTCCAGGAGACCGGGTCTCAGTGTCTTGAGACTCGGCTCCAAGAGACCGGGTCTCAGGGTCTTGAGACTCGGCTCCAGGAGACCGGGTCTCAGGGTCTTGAGACTCGGCTCCAAGAGACTGGGTCTCAGTGTCTTGAGACTCGGTTCCAGGAGACCGGGTCTCAGTGTCTTGAGACTCGGCTCCAGGAGACTGGGTCTCAGGGTCTTGAGACTCGGTTCCAGGAGACCGGGTCTCAGTGTCTTGAGACTCGGCTCCAGGAGACCGGGTCTCAGTGTCTTGAGACTCGGCTCCAGGAGACCGGGTCTCAGGGTCTTGAGACTCGGCTCCAGGAGACCGGGTCTCAGGGTCTTGAGACTCGGTTCCAGGAGACCGGGTCTCAGTGTCTTGAGATTCGGCTCCAGGAGACCGGGTCTCAGTGTCTTGACACTCAGCTCCAGGAGACCGGGTCTCAGCGTCTTGAGATTCGGCTCCAGGAGACCGGGTCTCAGGGTCTTGAGACTCGGCTCCAGGAGACCGGGTCTCAGTGTCTTGAGATTCGGCTCCAGGAGACCGGGTCTCAGGGTCTTGAGACTCGGCTCCAGGAGACCGGGTCTCAGTGTCTTGAGATTCGGCTCCAGGAGACCGGGTCTCAGGGTCTTGAGACTCGGCTCCAGGAGACCGGGTCTCAGTGTCTTGAGATTCGGCTCCAGGAGACCGGGTCTCAGGGTCTTGAGACTCGGCTCCAGGAGACCGGGTCTCAGTGTCTTGAGACTCGGCTCCAGGAGACCGGGTCTCAGTGTCTTGACACTCAGCTCCAGGAGACCGGGTCTCAGCGTCTTGAGACTCGGCTCCAGGAGACCGGGTTATTGTATTTTGACCCTTTGTTAACCTCACTGAAATGTCGCTAGTGCAGAAATGTGAGGGGCGAGACAGCAATTAAAGTTATGTAAGCGCGATTTATATACCATTGGTTTTATCCAAGTGCACGGAGGTTGACTTTGTACTCAGAAGATTCCGTAAGCCCTGCTGAATGAATCGGCCTGCCCGTTGCCTCACATTTACATTGAAATATTAACGCGTGTGTATGTGCGTGTGCGCGTGTGTGTATGTGTGAGTGCGTGTGTGTGTGTATGTGTGAGTGCGTGTGTAGTGTAGTGGTTAGCGTGCTGCGCTACGAATCAGGCGACCCGGGTTCGATTCTAGCTCATGGCTAATACTAGTGACAATTATTCGAACCGGTTCTGGGCCTCCCTTAGGTCGACTCGGCCTAAAATGAGTACCTGGTGCGGTGTGTAAACATCACCACTGGGGAGACAAAGGTGGTCGGGCGTGGTGCTGGCCACCCACCCCCTCGTGTGCCATGCTGGCCTTCATAGGTGCTCGCTAACAGCACTTGCCCCAACAGTCTGTTCAGGCGATATGGGGGATCTTTGTCTTTGTATGTGTGTGTGCACACGTCACGTGCCACCCTTCATAGAAGCTCGCTAACAGCAACCGCCGCTCGGCTCGTTAAAGCTAGAACTGTGGGTAGTTTTATTGTGTGTGTGTGGGCGTGGTGCTGGCCACCCACCCCCTCGTGTGCCGTGCCAGCCTTCATCGGTGCTACTCGCGAACAGCACTTGCCCCAACAGTCTGTTAAGGCTACACGGGGGATATTTGTCTTTGTTGGCACAATGGCGAGCACAGCTGGTGCAACGGGCAGTGATGTCAGTCAGTCAACCGCGTGACACCACTGGGCCTCGAAGTCACAAAGCACCTGCCCGGGTATGTTGTGGCATCAAGCGCTCCACCCATTCAGCTCTCTGGGCATTGGAGTGGTTTGTGGAGAGAGTGGAGTGGTTGTGGAGTGGAGATCCTATACCTGGGCAGTGTGCTCAGGGGACCAGCTTGCGGTTTGGCAGCGGAGGTGTCAGGGGCGCCACAGTGGCTAGGAGATGTTAACTGCCTCGCCTGGTATACAGGAGGTCGTGGGTTCGATCCCGACCCTGACACCTGCTGTATATTTGGAGAATTCGTGTCTCTCTCTCATTATCATCATGGTGGCTATGAGATGTTAACTACCTCGCCTGGTATACAGGAGGTCGTCGGTTCGATCCCGACCCTGACGCCTGCTTTATATTTGGAGTTTGCGTGTCTCTCTCTCCCAGCAGTCGCATGGATTTTTTCTCCGGGCCCTCCGTTTTTTTCCATCCACATTCGCAAACAACACCGTGCGTTTAGAATGTTCGGCTGAAAAAGAGCGATGTAGCTCAGTGGGCCTCAACTGGCAAAATAAAAATAGCCGAGTTTAGTTTAGTCGCTTCAAATCAGCTGAACGGCATTACCTCTCCGTCACCTGCGTAACACTGTTGCGTGACAGCTGCGTGACTTATCGCCCTGTCTGAACGTCAGGGTCTTTTCGGCCACATCTCCCGCCCTCTCTTCCCTGTGCTGGTGTCGTGGTTCAACGCGCGCATATTTGAGAGCGGCTGTATGTCCGCGCTGGGTAGCCAGAAGAGGCGGTTGGTGAGCATCATCGTGGGGATGTCAAGAGCAGCCAGGGCCAGGACGACCGTTGGGGTAATTGGGGTAAACAAGGGGGGAGAGGTGGACCGGAATTCAAAGACCGGTATCTGCCAATCATCGAGGGCTCTTCTGGAGAATGTTCTGGAAGGGGTCGCGAGGGATATACAAGACTGGCAAAACGAGCCTGAGGGTCAGTATGATGAAGACAGAAGACGAGAGAAGCTGAAGCCGGACCCGCCAAGCTAGTTAGAGTATTCTTGGGCGAGAGTAGCCCTGTGTGGACCTGGGTAGGCTAGGATAGGGTCGCTAGGGGCAAGCGCAGTCCGTACGTCGGCACGCTTAACCCCCGGGGCGACCGTGGTATCGACCCGCTGAGACAGCGAGACACGGCAGCCGGGAGGGGTGAACAAGGAGAGTAGAGAATAGGATAGGGAAGGAGAGTAGGGAATAGGACAGGGATGCGGCGAGTGAGGGAGCGAACGGGCGACGGGCGGCGGATCATCGGCTTAGCTAAGCAAGTGTTATGTAAACAAACTGTAATCAAGTGGCCCGGACAGAAGACAAGATATCGTCCGCCTTTATTTACAACACCACACTTGCGATACGTGAACCCCTTCTTAAGGGAACATCTGCGCCGGCTAGAAACATTCAGGCTGGCCTGTCCATGATCCATCCCGGGTTTAAGCAGACTGGATTGTGTGACGAGCTCGCAGACCCTCGAAAGGCCTGGACACAGTCTCATCGGCGAGCTCCTCCGGCAGGCGAGGCTGCGTTGGCTGGGTTACGTAGCCCGCGTGCCCGGCCAACGCATGCACAAGCAGCTGCTGCTTGGGTGGATAGAGAGAGAGGGGGCTAAACGGCCACGGCACGGGCCAGAGAACACAGCAGGATGCTGAGCCGAGTGAACTTGTCGAGATCGGCCTCTGTGAAGGAGGCCCACGAAGGACGTCGCTAGGCGAGGGGGGAGCGGAGTTTGCGTGGCGGTTTACGCTCCATGACGAGATCGGCAAACGTGTTGTCATTCGTTTGTGGCGAGCAGCACTTTGCGTGTAACGAGCGCGACCTCGTCACTGGAGGTCAGCGAGCACCGGGCGGTAAGGGTCAGTCAAAAATCTAGTTTTTTAAGATCCAGAGGTTCACATGGTCCCATAGACTCACACTGACCCCATAGACTCACACTGACCCCATAGAATCACACTGACCCCATAGACTCACTCTGATCCCATAGACTCACTCTGACCCCATAGACTCACACTGACCCCATAGACTCACACTGACCCCATAGACTCACACTGACCCCATAGACTCACACTGACCCCATAGATTCACACTGACCCCAGTGGGGACAATGAGGGGGGAGTCAGTGGGGGAATTGAGTGGGGGCGGGGGGGGGAGATGAGGGGGGGCGAGGGAGTGGAGTGGAGGGAGTGGAGAGGGGGTGAGGGGAGTGAGTGGGGAGGAGGGGGTGGGGGGATTGAGTGGGGGGGGGCGATGAGGGGGGGGGGCGAGGTAGTGGAGGGAGTGGGGGGGGAGGGAGTGGAGGGAGTAGAGGGGGGTGAGGGGAGTGAGTGGGGAGGAGGGAGTGGGGGGATTGAGTGGGGGGGGGGGGATGAGGGGGGGGGGCGGGGGGAGGAGGGAGCGGGGGAGGTAGTGGAAGCGAGGGAGGGGAGGGAGTGGGGGGGGGTTAGGGGGGGTTAGGGGGGGGTGGGGGTTAGGGGGTGGGGGTTAGGGGGGGGTGGGGGTTAGGGGGGGTGCCCCCACCTGCACGATGCGGTCGTGTGCGAGGATGCCGGCCGCGTGTGCGGGCGAGTCTGCGTCGACGGAGCGCACGAACTGCCCCACGCGGCCCTTCTCGGCGTGCAGGTGGAAGCCGTAGCCCTTGGGGCCGCGCGGCACCAGGCACAGACGCGGCCTCACGGCGCCCTTGGGGAGACACGGCGAGACACGGGGAGACACAAGCGTTAGGCAGAGGGACACGCGGGGAGAGAGACACGGGGGGGGGGGGGAGACACGGGGGGAGAGAGACACGGGAAGATCAAGCGTTACGCAGAGGGACACGCGGGGAGAGAGACACGGGGGGGGGGGGGGAGACACGGGGGAGGGAGACACGGGAAGATCAAGCGTTACGCAGAGGGACACGCGGGGGGAGAGATACGGGGGGAGAGAGACACGGGGGGAGACACGGGGGAAGAGAGACACGGGGAGACACAGGCGTTACGCAGAGGGACACGCAGGGAGAGAGACACGGGGGGAGAGAGACACGCGGACAGAGAGATGCGTTGGAGAGGGACACGTGGGAGAGAGACACGCGGACGAGAGACACGGGGGAGAGAGACACATGGAAGATCACACGTTACGCAGAAAGACGCGCGGGGGAGAGAGACGCGGCCGAGAAGGGCGCGGGGTGTAAACGAGACGAGGCTGCTGCATGCTCCAGGTTCAGAGCGAGCAGCCGCGACCAGGTCGCCAGCAGCATAACGCGGTTGACCAGTAGGCAGCCATCCCCCCCGCTGCCTTTCTCCCCCAATGCTGATGTGTACACACTGCATCAGTTCACTTATTTGAGGCCGAGTCTACCTAGGGGAGGCCCAGGACCAGGTCAGATATTCGTCACCGATGTTGGTTATGGCCGGCAATCGAACTCGGATCACCGGGTTCGTAGCGCAGTGCAATGACGGCTACACGACCGCTCTGCACACAAAGACAAGGACAAAGATCCCCCGTGTGGCCTTAACAGACTGTTGGGGCAAGTGCTGTTAGCCCAGCACCTATGAAGGCCGGCACGGCACACGAGGGGGTGGGTGGTCAGCACCAAACCCGGCCGCCTGTTTCCCCACTGCTAATCTTTACACACCGCACCAGGTACTCATTTGAGGCTGAGCCGACCTAGGGGAGGCCCAGGACCGGTTCACATAATCGTCGCCGGTGTTGGCCGTGAGCGGGAATCGAACTCGGGTCGCCGGGTTCGTAGCGCAGCGCAGCGCTGACTTTTGCGCCACCGCTCCCCACCCACACAGATGCACACAGACATGCACAAAGACAAAGATCCCCCCGTGTAGCCTTAACAGACTGTCGGGGCAAGTGCTGTTCGCGAGCAGCGCCTACGAAGGCCGTGCACTGTGGCACACGAGTGAGTTCGGTGGCCAGCACCAAGCGCGGCCGCCTTTGTCTCCCCCAAGTGGCGACGTTAACTCCACGCCGTCAGCAGGTGCTCGTTTGAGGCCGAGTCGACCTAGAGGGAGGCCCAGAACCGGTTCGTAGAATCGTGACCGGTGTTCGTGGCCCGCGAGCGGAAATCAAAAATCGCTCCGTTCCGCAGCAGCGCGCCGCCTCCCACCCACGCGCACGAGCGAGCGAGCGAGCTCACGGGGACATTCCTGAAATTTTAGCTCGAGAATTTCGGCTGAGAGGCTTTGATAAAAGTGACTCCCCCTCCCACCACTCGGCTAACTCCGTGCCTGACACGGCCATTTTGACCCCCCCCCCCCCGCCACTCACCAGGACCACCACTTTCAGGGGTAAATACAGCAGCTCCAAGAGCCTGAACCCTGAACCCGGCATCTCAGTGGTTATGGATCAGGAGCCAATGGTGAGATGTTATCTACCTCGCCTGGTATACAGGAGGTCGTGGGTTCGATCCCAACCTTGACAGTGCCTGCTGTACATTTGGAGTCTACGTGTCTCTCTGTCATCATCATCATCGTCACGGTGGCTAGGAGATGTTAACTACCTCACCTGGTATACAGGAGGTCGTGGGTTCGATCCCAACCCTGACAGTGCCTGCTGTACATTTGGAGTCTACGTGTCTCTCTGTCATCATCATCGTCACGGTGGCTAGGAGATGTTAACTATCTCACCTGGTATACAGGAGGTCGTGGGTTCGATCCCAACCCTGACAGTGCCTGCTGTACATTTGGAGTTTGCGTGTCTCCCTCCCCGTGGTCGCGTAGATTTTTTTTTCTCTGGGTTCTCCCTCCGGTTTTCCCTCCAAATTTAGAACCATGCATTGAGATTACTTAGATTATTTTTCTGCTATAAATGACAAAATGATGGGCCACTTTGTTGAGCTGTCATTTGTGGCCAGGTTGCATCTTAAAAACAATTTAATGCCTCAGTGGCTTTTGTCTGGTAGGGTGGGGATGGTTTCGTGTTGTATTTGTGTTTGGGTGATTTGATTGCCTTTCTTGTACTTTGCACTCCCGCCGTGTTTCTGTAACTGTTTGTTGATGTAACGTTCTTACCTTGTGCTCACAACTGGACATGTGTGGAAAAGGAGTCCCACAGCCCAATCGGAGATAGTGGGGAGACAGCCAGACTCAATGGGGCTCAAAGCCAGGATTTTCGTGTTACTGGCTCAGGGTCTCTGGCACAGCCGTTTATGAACCCCCTGAGAGTGAGGGGGGGGACTCAAACCCAGGAGCCTGAACCTTGAACGAATGGTGTAATAATTGCTGGTTCAGCATTACCAACACGGCCATTGTGAACTGCCCGAGAGAGACCCAGACCTTGGGATTGAACCCATGTTCTCAGTGGTTTAGGCTCAGTGTCTCTGACACAGCCATCATGAACCTCCCGAGAAAGACCCAGACCAGGGGATTGAACCCAGGATCTCAGTGGTTCTGACTCAGTGTCCCTGACACGGCCATTGTAAACCTCCCGAGAGAGGCCCAGACCTTGGGATTGAACCTAGGATTTCAGTGGATCTGGTTCAAATGTCTCCGATATGGCCATTGTGAGCCCTTTGATTGTGTTCATCTCTGCCAAGTTGATAATCTGTCCGCTGGCTTGTGTGCTGATGTGTTTAAGAGGATTAACAGCTCACGCAGCAACAACAACAATAATAATTAATCAGAACCAACGTAGGGACTTTGCGTTCCTACACAACAAAGAAGTTAATTAAATTTGCATACAGGAACAAAGCGTCCTTTGGTTAGCCAGATCCAGCAACTTGCACTGCCTGTTTGTGCATGCACCCATTCAAAGTGCACAAAGACAAAGATCCCCCGTGTAGCCTTTAACTGTTGGTGCAAGTGCTGTTAGCGAGTTAGCGCCTATGGAGGCCGGCACGGTAGTGTAGTGGATCGAGCGGTGTGTAGACATCGCCGCTGGTCAGACGTGGCCAGCCGGGGACGTGGTGCAGGCCACCCACCCCCTCGTGTGTCATGCCGGTACGGCCCTCTGACACCTCCGATTAGCACGGTTGGCTACGTACGGTGCGAAAGAAGTTCGACATACATACGTAGGCGCTGCTCGCGAACAGCACTTGCCACATTAGCTTGCTAAGGCTATACGGGGGATCTTTGTTTTGAATGATGGTCAGAGGGTAGTGAGGGTAATGGTAATGCCTTGTGTGGAGGAGGCTCGTAAAGGACGCTGCTACTGGGCAGTTGTAGGCAGTCGCCCTCCAACAACAACAACAACGGAGAGCAGAGGAGCGACGCTCACAACAACGAGCGGAGCGCCGGGCGGATAAAACGCAGGCAGGTTGGCCCAGTAGGGGGCACGGCTGGAGGTGCATCTACCGGTCATCTCGGTCAGTCAACCCCTGGCACCGCCTGGGTCTGTCCCGTGACCTCCTCCTGTCGGCAGCGAGCACTTCGACACTTCACGTGGTAGCCTCGAAGTGCACCTGGCCTGGCACAGGCGCCGAGGTGACGTCACCGTCACTTAGTGGCGAATGGCGGCTGTAGGTGTTGGTGGTGACGATGTTGGCGAGGTCGGTAATGGTGGTTGGTGGTGAGAGCGTTGAGCGTGGTGGTGATGGCGGCGATGGGGGTGTAGCTGATGGGGTAGTTGATGGTGTAGTTGAGGGGGTAGCTGATGGTGTAGTTGAGGGTGTAGCTGATGGGGTAGTTGAGGGTGTAGTTGATGGTGTAGTTGATGGTGTAGTTGATGGTGTAGTTGAGGGTGTAGTTGATTGTGTAGTTGAGGGTGTAGTTGAGGGTGTAGTTGAGGGGGTAGTTGAGGGTGTAGTTGAGGGTGTAGTTGGTGTTGTAGTTGAGGGTGTAGTTGATGGTGCAGTTGATGGTGTAGTTGGTGGTGTAGTTGAGGGTGTAGTTGAGGGGGTAGTTGATGGTGTAGTTGGTGGTGTAGTTGAGGGGGTAGTTGATGGTGTAGTTGAGGGTGTAGTTGATGGTGTAGTTGAGGGTGTAGTTGATGGTGCAGTTGAGGGTGTAGTTGAGGGTGTAGCTGAGGGTGTAGTTGAGGGTGTAGTTGAGGGTGTAGCTGAGGGTGTAGTTGAGGGGGTAGTTGAGGGTGTAGTTGATGGTGTAGTTGATGGTGTAGTTGATGGTGTAGTTGAGGGTGTAGTTGAGGGGGTAGTTGATGGTGTAGTTGAGGGTGTAGTTGAGGGTGTAGTTGAGGGTGTAGTTGAGGGTGTAGTTGAGGGTGTAGTTGAGGGTGTAGTTGATGGTGTAGTTGAGGGTGTAGTTGAGGGTGTAGTTGAGGGTGTAGTTGATGGTGTAGTTGATGGTGTAGTTGATGGTGTAGTTGATGGTGTAGTTGAGGGTGTAGTTGAGGGTGTAGTTGAGGGTGTAGTTGATGGTGTAGTTGATGGTGTAGTTGATGGTGTAGTTGAGGGTGTAGTTGATGGTGTAGTTGAGGGTGTAGTTGAGGGGGTAGTTGATGGTGTAGTTGAGGGTGTAGTTGAGGGTGTAGTTGAGGGTGTAGTTGAGGGTGTAGTTGAGGGTGTAGTTGATGGTGTAGTTGAGGGTGTAGTTGAGGGTGTAGTTGAGGGTGTAGTTGAGGGTGTAGTTGATGGTGTAGCTGATGGTGTAGTTGAGGGTGTAGTTGAGGGTGTAGTTGAGGGTGTAGTTGAGGGTGTAGTTGCGTGCCGTGCCAGCAGTCGCTGCTGCTCGCTAACAGCACTTGCCCCAACTGTCTGGTAACGCCATACAGGGAATCTTTGTCTCGTGTGTGTGTCTGTGAGTGGGGAGCGGTAGTGTAGCAGATCAGTGCTACGCCGCGCTACGAACCCGGCGACCCTGGTTCGACTCCCACTCACGGCCACCAACACCACGAGTGACGATCATCTGAACCGGTCCTGGGCCTCCCCGAGGTCGACTCAGCCTCCAATGAGTACCTGGGTACGGTGCGTAAAAGCATCGCCACTAGGGGAGACAAAGGCGGCCGGGCGTGGTGCTGGCCACCCACCCCGGCTCGCGCGCCACTGTGCCGGCAGCGCTCTGTAGGCGCTGCTCGCACTTGCCCCGATAGTCTGTTAACGGCAACAACGGGGGGGGGTTGGGGGACCTTTGTCTTTGCCGAGCGTGTTCTACTCTGCCAAGGGGTCATAATCGACGGAGCAAAGGTCCAGGGGTGGCGGGTCCAACGCCCACGCAAGACAACGGCAACACGCCCAGCAGCGCGCCGTCGTAAATTCCTCACGCGCTCCAACGAGCCCCGCTTCAATGTGCAGACGCTGGACTTCTTCTTCTTGGGCACCGCACGCGGCCAACCGCGGCGCATCGGAGGTGCCGGGGAGAAAGAGAACAAACTACGCGCAAATAACAACAAGCACTTCTAGGGAAATTAGTTCTGAATGTTGTATAGTGGTGTGGTGTATAGTGTATCGTAGTGTAGTGTATCGTAGTGTAGTGTATAGTGGTGTAGTGTATAGTGTATAGTCCATACATTTTTTTTGGGTTAGATCACGTAAATATATAAAGTGTCTTAAAACCCGCCACCACCACCCGACACGGCCAACTAGTAAGGGTTGTCACGTAAATATAACGTGCCAATTCGTCACTAGTACAGCACTAGTGTATAGTGTAGTGTATAGTAGTGTAGTGTATAGTGTAGTAGTGTATAGTAGTGTATAGTGTAGTGTATAGTAGTGTAGTGTATAGTGTAGTGTATAGTGTAGTGTATAGTAGTGTAGTGTATAGTGTAGTGTATAGTAGTGTAGTGTATAGTGTAGTGTACTAGTACAGCACACCGGTGTGTTGGAGAGCCAAGCCACAACATTTCCAATCTGAGTACGACGTTTCGCCAGTAATTACAACGAGCTTCATCAGGCGACAGCCAGATTTGGGGAGAAGTCCACCTGTTTCGTTCCTTATATCGAGGCGTAGATGTGGTAACCCCCCCCCCCCCCTCCCACGTGGGAGGGGGGGGGGGTTACTGAGTCAACGTACATTATGGTGTGCATCATGCGAGCCCTTTGATCTTGTCCTTCCTGTCTATTGTGTGTATTAAATAGCCGTACTAACGGTAATCCCTATAGAAGTGTGGTGCCCTTTGTAGGCATGCATTTAAACAATGTATTGTTTGATGATTCGCTTCCACGCAGCACTGAGGCGGTAGTTATCCGAACGGTTAAAGTTATTTTTAAATCTTTTATATTAAGTTCGCGTGCTTGCTTGCTTGCTTAGGACCGTGCAAATCTTTCGGTCGTTTTTTTAACCCACTTCCCGTGATCCAATCGAGCTGACATTTTCCACACAGACTCGTTGTGCCAGACAATTATTGTTCGTGAAAAAAAATTCCCAAAATTTTACACTTTTTAGACAAAAAAAAATATTTTACATATATTCAAATAGAACGCATTCATGGCTTTGGCTGAACATCACAGTGCAAGAGCCCAGAGCGTAACCCCTCCACAGGCCGTGGTGGAGTAGCGCAGTTGGTAGTGCCCTCGCTTCCCATGCCAAAGGTCGTGGGATAGATCCCCGCGTCCTCCACAGGCGAATATATTTTTAAATCCTTTATATTAAGTTCGCTTGCTTGCTTAGGACCGTGCAAATCTTTCGCTCGTTTTTTAACCCACTTCCCGTGATCCAATCGAGCTGACATTTTCCACACAGACTCGTTGTGTGACAATTAATTTTCGTGAAATTTTTTTCCAAAATTTTACACTGTTTAGGGAAAACTAATTAAATATTTAATTACCAATTGCTTAATACTGGCAGACAATCATCTGACCCATAGATTGCAGCCATCTCAAGCCAGAGGACGAGAGGACTCTAGCCGCCACGCATATAAAGGATTTAGAGTGAAAAACTTTGTTTTTACGGGTTTACTTGTTATTAAGTTCAATTTCAATAGATTCTCTAATTAGTCTTGGCCAGTAGTAGCTAGTTTTGCACAGAGCTTAGTATAGTGGTGTAGTGTATAGTAGTATAGTGTATAGTGGTGTAGTGTACAGTGGTGTAGTGTATAGTAGTGTAGTGTATAGTGGTGTAGTGTATAGTGGTGTAGTGTATAGTGGTGTAGTGTATAGTAGTGTAGTGTATAGTGGTGTAGTGTATAGTAGTGTAGTGTATAGTAGTGTAGTGTATAGTGGTGTAGTGTATAGTGGTGTAGTGTATAGTGGTGTAGTGTATAGTGGTGTAGTGTATAGTGGTGTAGTGTATAGTAGTGTAGTGTATAGTAGTGTATAGTGGTGTATAGTAGTGTAGTGTATCGTAGTGTATAGTGTAGTGTATAGTGGTGTAGTGTATAGTAGTGTAAAGTATTGTTTAGTAGTGTAGTGTGTAGTGTACAGTGGAGTGTATAAGAGTATGTTTGTTGAACTTCTTTTGCACCGTACGCAGGAAAGCACAAAAAGCCGTTTGGGTCTCCAAAGTCGCGCAACATCGTCACCGGCAACATCGTCACCGGCAACATCGTCACCGGCAACATCGTCACCGGCAACATCGTCACCGGCAACATCGTCACCGACAACATCGTTACCAGCAACATCGTCACCAGCAACATCGTCACCGTCGTCAGCCATGGTCAATCCACTGCCGGATGTCCTTCAAGTGACCAGGAAAATGGCGACAGTTACAAGGCTCTCGTTTTCAAGGAGGGTTGTTGCCTTGAGACGGTGATCCAGATCTGCTACGAGCCTGGGTTCAAGCCTTGGGTCTGGGTGTGTCTCTCTCTCTATCTCTCGTGGTACATAATGGCCGTGTCGGAGACAGTAATACAACGCTGTCAAAAGCCAGAGCCGATTTCTCACCTTAAACCCATTAACAATGAAAGCATCGTCGGCGCAACTGGGAAACAAGTAGATTGAAATCATACGCGCGCACACAGCGTGTGCAGCATTGCATGAACTAAAATCAATCTCAACACCAGCTCCAAAAGAATTGACCGTGTGGCCACCGTGTGGCCACCACACGGGCGGTTCCACCCCCCCCCCCCCCACCACGGCGGAGTGGTTGATTCCTCGCAGTCGCGAACGTTGACAAGCGTCTGCACCGCAGCACATCCGCACAAATCGAATTCAATCAGCTCATTCAAATCTGACCTGAAGGCCTCTTTTTATTGTCCAGGCATACGCTGGCAAGTGGCATTCACGTGATGGGTCCAAGTGGCCCGTAACTTTTAGGCCACTCCGCCACCACCCTCACTCCTGTGAAGGTTCTCCTAAACCCGGTGGTGAAGTGAAGGGATTGTGGTCTGGGGGATTACGGAGACCGAACGGATTTATTTTAATTAATTAAATTTCTCCGTGACGATCATTTTGCTTGTCACGTGCATTGCATTTTTTTCTATCTCTCCCTATTTATGGATTCACCTTTTGGGTTTTCTGGGGCGCTTTGTGCTTTTGTAACGTCCGCGTAAGGGACCGGCGAATTAGCTGTTGCAGTGTTGTGGGATGGCAATTGCGTGAACGACGCTCTGTAGAATTAAATCATCAATTTCAAGGACAGTGCACACATTATCAGAGTTATGTTTTTTGTTTGCATTCTGACTGCAGGTATTGTGGTCAATGCAAACATGACTCCTTGTAAAAAAAAAGTGTCAGTTTTGTTGCCAGATAAAAGGGTAAAAAACCAATTATCATATTTTGCTACTGGCAAATGAAGTTCCAATGGTGATCGTTGTTGTTATTGTTGTAAAGGCACCGTGCTGATGACGAGTCCCCAGCGAGGGCTAAAAGCTGTCGCCACCGCCCGTCGGGGTAAAAATTTCCCTCCGTTTGACTCGTTTTGAGCCGTCGGTATCCGACGACCGAAATGGGCCACGCATTCCGGCCCTGCCCGAGCTGGTGGTCTGGGCAAGGCCGAGAGGGCTGCGCTGCTGCGCGCTCCGTAAAAAATAAATCCACTCGGGCGGCAACAAAACATCCAGCGATTGCGAAGGCAGCGCGCTCTCTTACCTCCTCTCCATCGCTGTCGCCACTGCTGTCACGATCCTGCTGCTGATGCTGCTGCTGCTGATGATGATCGTGGTGGTCGTCCTCGTCGTCCTTGTCCTCGTCGCCGCCCTCCTTCTCGGAGTCTCCGCGAGCCGGCACGGCGCCGACGCCGGCGAGGCTCCCGGCCGCCGTGGTGGCCCGCCGCCTGGCCAGGGCCTCGTCCGCCTCCGGGTCGATGACGAGCAGCGTGGTCTCGCCCGGCTTCTCCTTGATGATGCTCACCACCTCCTGGTGGCTCTTGGCCTCCACGTTGACTCCGTTCACCTCCAGGATACGGTCGCCGGCACGCACGCCGGCCAGCTCGGCGGCCGAGCCCGGCTCCACCTTGTGGATGAATTGGCTCAGCCTCACCTTGTCGGAGTGCAGGTGAAAGCCGTAGCCGGCCTTGGCCTTGACGATGCGGCAGAGGCGAGCGGACCCATCGTAATCCTCGTCCATGGTCTCCCGGTGAGAGGGAGGAGAGAGATGACGACGACGATGGCGGTGACGGTGGTTCCTTCGGGGGGTCAGGAGAGGGAGGAGCGAGGGGGTCAGGAGCGGCGACGGACTAAACGTCGGGCCCCGAGGCCGAGCTGTAGAGACTCCAAGGGCCCAGATTGCCGCGCGAATAGGTTTTACCCTTTCTGGCAATACAATGGGTGTTAAGATGTTCAAACGCCAAACAGACAGACAGCTGCTCACCCCGAGCTATAAATGCTCTGATGCGTGTGGCATTGTCTTTGTGCTGTTCATCTTTTGCCGTTGTTCGCTGCTCTGACATTGGTGGTGAGACGAGGCCATGCAGGTGGCTGCCGTCTCTGGTGTAGGCCAATCAGTTTCAAAGACAACGCAAGTCGATTGTCGGAGAATTTTGACACGTAGGCTTTCGCGACCAATTTCCTCCATAATACAGGTTTCATCATGATTTTAGTACACACAATAGACAGGAAGTAGAAGATCAATGGGTATGCATAATGCACATGCAGAATGTACATTGATCGCCATACACATAACCCAAACGTCAATGCATTAATATGCATTAATTAATCCCCCCCCCCCCCCCCCCACTTCGTGCAAGAAAAGCACACAAGTCATGTCATTGCATCTACCCATCTATTTAAGGAACGAAACAGGAGGATTTTTTCACAAATCTGGCTGTCGCCTGATGAAGCTCGTTGTAATTACTGGCTAAACGTCGTACTCAGATGGTTAATGTTGTGGCTTGGCTCTCCAACACACCGGCGTGCTGTACTAGTGACGAATTGGCCACGTTCTGTTTAAGTGACAACCCTTACTAGTTGGCTGTGTCGGGTGGTGGCAGGTTTAACGACACATTTATATATTTACGCGATCTAACCCAAAAAACCTCTATTGTGGATTATCAGAGCATGTTGCTTGCATGCGTTGTCACAAGTACTGTGTGGTTAATGCAGTACTTGATGTCTTGCTGTTTGAACAACTTATGTTTAATTTCCAGGAAGAAGTCAAACCTATTGTTAGTTTTCATAATTTTGATTACTGTAAAAAGAGGTCCCCCATAGAGAGAGACTCTAACCCAGTGGTTCTTAAACCTTTTCTGTAGCCTTGCACTCCCTTGGTTCTCAGTCGTAACAAAAGAAACGATGTTAATAAGCACACAGGCTTGATGAAACAAAATAAGTTGTACTCTTTGGTTTTTTCGGTAAAGTCACGTAGGTAAAACAATCAATAAAATAAATGAAAACAACTAAATTAAATCACGACGTTTCGGAGGCAACACAAGCGTCCTTCATCAGGTGTAAGAAAGGCACAGCACCTGATGAAGGAAGCTTGTGTTGCCTCCGAAACGTCGTGATTAAATTTAGTTGTTTTCATTTATTTTATTGATTGATTTACCTACGTGACTTTACCGAAAAAACCAAAGAGTATGAATCAGAGGTGTGGACTCGAGTCATGTGACTTGGACTCGAGTCAGACTCGAGTCATGAATTTGATGACTTCAGACTCGACTTGGACTTGCATAACAATGACTTTGTCCCACCTCTGAGGTGTGGACTCGAGTCATGTGACTTGGACTCGAGTCAGACTCGAGTCATGAATTTGATGACTTCAGACTCGACTTGGACTTGCATAACAATGACTTTGTCCCACCTCTGGTATGAATCCGTGCAGTCACGAAAGCTTCAAATCTAGAATTAAGTTGAATCCCGGGACATTTCTACCAATATCACAGCCCGTCTTTGGTGGAGGCCAATCAGTTTCAAAGACAATGCCATCAGATGGTACCACAGCACGTGTTGTTTGCATGTTCACCACAAGCACCTGTGTGCGGTTAATGCAGTAACTTGATGTTTCTATTTGGGGTTTGAACATCTTAACACAACTCCTGTTGTATTGCCAGAAAGGGGTAAAGGTCATTTTCATTTCTCAAAGTAAGTTGTAGCTTGTGTTGCCCGTGCCTTCATTTGCGTCTTCGATGATTTACCTTCGGAAAAATATCTGGCCACGTCTCGCAAGCCCCCCAGAAAGGGCATCACGCAGCCCCAGGCGGTGTATGATGCACCACCAGGTTGAGAAGAAGAACCACTCCTCTGCGCTCTTGTTAATTACCAGTTCATAACGGCGGTATTCGCCAGGCAAAAGTTTGCAATAAATATACTAATGAACTCGATATGAGTTGTTTACAATTTGTATCTACCATCAGACACGATAAACTACTCCAAACATTTGGTGTTCTTCTGCCAAAAAAAAAAGATTGTTGACTTGATTCAACTTCTTACGTTTAGAGATGTTCCCATGGGAAACCGCTCGATTTAAAGATTCCGTTCTTTTTGTTTTTGGAAAGAACGAAAATTAATTAACTTAATGCTTTGAGAGGGGAAGCTCTGATATCTTTTACCGTTTTAAAATCATTCAGATTTGAACATCACAAAAATGGAAGATAGAACAATGATTCTCGCTTTAAACAATAGAAGATTGAACAATGGGTCTCGCTTTAAACAATATAAGATAGAATAATGGGTCTCGCTTTAAACAATAGAAGATTGAACAATGATTCTCGCTTTAAACAATAGAAGATTGAACAATGGGTCTCGCTTTAAACAATATAAGATAGAATAATGGGTCTCGCTTTAAACAATAGAAGATTGAACAATGATTCTCGCTTTAAACAATAGAAGATTGAACAATGGATCTCGCTTTAAACAATATAAGATAGAATAATGGGTCTCGCTTTAAACAATAGAGGATAGAACAATGATTATCACTTTAAACAATATAATATAGAACAATTATTCTCGTTTTAAACAATAGAGGATAGAACAATGGATCTCGCTTTAAACAATAGAAGATAGAACAATGGGTCTCGCTTTAATTCTATTCGCTGTTTAACGCTCTACCAAACGACAAAACCCCGCAATCTTTGATTTCGAACGGTGTCTGAATGACACCAGGAACAAACATTTCCATGGGCCACTAAAAATCTCGCCGTAGTTTGTGTCCTAGAAGCTACCTGGGCACCAACATTTCAGCCTTCTACCTTGTCCGAGAAGTACCCCACAGATGTTTAGAGACATCACACCGATGGAGGTCTTTCATTAGAGATTAGAGATCCAAGTGGAGCGTGACAAGACGTCCTGAGCCCCGTCACGGGACATTCGGTCCTGAGCGTTCTCTTGGCAAAATTCCAGCTCTTGAGAATTAAAACAAAAACTTTCGTCGTCATGTGTGTGGGTGTGTGGGGGGTGTTTGTATGCCGGTATATCTCTGTGCACATATCTGTATATACACACAATACTGCATCTCTCTTTGTACATCTTTCACTCTGTACACACACATCTCTATGTGTGTCTAGGAGAGATACGCACCTGTGCGTATGTCTCCGTGTGTATATCTCTGTGTGTATATATCCCGATGTAAATATATATCTACGTGTATATATCTCTATGTACATATCTGTGTATATATCTATCTCTATGTATATATCTCTATGTATATATCTCTATGTATATATCTCTATTATATATATCTATATATCTAAATGTATCTATCTCTCTATGTATCTGTATCTCTATGTATATCTATGTATATATCTCTATGTATATATCTCTATGTATATATCTCTATGTATATATCTCTATGTATATATCTCTATGTATATATCTTTATGTATATATCTCTATGTATATATCTCTATGTATATATCTCTATGTATATATAGATCTCTATGTATCTCTATGTATCTCTGTGTGTATCTGTCTCTGTGTGTGTCTCTTCACCTGCCGCTGCTGCCGCTCTCTCGACGCCGTCTCCGCTCTGCGCGACTCCAAAACTTTCGCCGCCTTCACCTCCGCTCGGAGTCGATTCCTCCTCCGTTAATCGACGTGGCCGATTCCTCGGGCTAAGATTCCGACTCCCGGCTCAGGCCCCTGTGTTTTTTTTTTGTTACGCAGAAGGGTCATTGCCCGAAACGTCGCCCATCATTTGTTGTACAGGAGGAGGTCACGGGACAGACCCAGCAGGTGCCATGGGTTGACTGCTGTGCCAGGCTAGGTGCAGGAAGAGGTCACGGGACAGACCCAGCAGGTGCCATGGGTTTACTGCTGTGCCAGGCTAGGTGCAGAAGGAGGTCACGGGACAGACCCAGCAGGTGCCATGGGTTGACTGCTGTGCCAGGCGAGGTGCAGAAGGTCACGGGACAGACCCAGGTGCCATGGAATGGTTGCTGTGCCAGGCTAGGTGCAGGAGGAGGTCACGGGACAGACCCAGCAGGTGCCATGGGTTTACTGCTGTGCCAGGCTATGTGCAGGAGGAGGCCACGGGACAGATCCAGCAGGTGCCATGGGTTGAATGCTGTGCCAGGCTCGGTGCAGGAGGAGGTCACGGGACAGACCCAGCAGGTGCCATGGGTTGACTGCTGTGCCAGGCTCGGTGCAGGAGGTCACGGGACAGACCCAGCAGGTGCCATGGGTTGACTGCTGTGCCAGGCTCGGTGCAGGAGGAGGTCACGGGACAGATCCAGCAGGTGCCATGGGTTGACTGCTGTGCCAGGCTCGGTGCAGGAGGAGGTCACGGGACAGACCCAGCAGGTGCCATGGGTTGACTGCTGTGCTAGGTTAGGTGCAGGAGGAGGTCACGGGACAGACCCAGCAGGTGCCATGGGTTGACTGCTGTGCCAGGCGAGGTGCAGTAGGTCACGGGACAGACCCAGGTGCCATGGGTTGGCTGCTGTGCCAGGCTAGGTGCAGGAGGAGGTCACGGGACAGACCCAGCAGGTGCCATGGGTTGACTGCTGTGCCAGGCTAGGTGCAGGAAGAGGTCACGGGACAGACCCAGCAGGTGCCATGGGTTTACTGCTGTGCCAGGCTAGGTGCAGAAGGAGGTCACGGGACAGACCCAGCAGGTGCCATGGGTTGACTGCTGTGCCAGGCGAGGTGCAGAAGGTCACGGGACAGACCCAGGTGCCATGGAATGGTTGCTGTGCCAGGCTAGGTGCAGGAGGAGGTCACGGGACAGACCCAGCAGGTGCCATGGGTTTACTGCTGTGCCAGGCTATGTGCAGGAGGAGGCCACGGGACAGATCCAGCAGGTGCCATGGGTTGAATGCTGTGCCAGGCTCGGTGCAGGAGGAGGTCACGGGACAGACCCAGCAGGTGCCATGGGTTGACTGCTGTGCCAGGCTCGGTGCAGGAGGTCACGGGACAGACCCAGCAGGTGCCATGGGTTGACTGCTGTGCCAGGCTCGGTGCAGGAGGAGGTCACGGGACAGATCCAGCAGGTGCCATGGGTTGACTGCTGTGCCAGGCTCGGTGCAGGAGGAGGTCACGGGACAGACCCAGCAGGTGCCATGGGTTGACTGCTGTGCTAGGTTAGGTGCAGGAGGAGGTCACGGGACAGACCCAGCAGGTGCCATGGGTTGACTGCTGTGCCAGGCGAGGTGCAGTAGGTCACGGGACAGACCCAGGTGCCATGGGTTGGCTGCTGTGCCAGGCTAGGTGCAGGAGGAGGTCACGGGACAGACCCAGCAGGTGCCATGGGTTTACTGCTGTGCCAGGCTAGGTTCAGGAGGAGGTCACGGGACAGACCCAGCAGGTGCCATGGGTTGACTGCTGTGCCAGGCTAGGTGCAGGAGGAGGTCACGGGACAGACCCTGCAGGTGCTATGGGTTGACTGCTGTGCCAGGCTAGGTGCAGGAGGAGGTCACAGGACAGACCCAGGTGCCATGGGTTGACTGCTGTGCCAGGTTAGGTGCAGGAGGAGGTCACGGGACAGACCCAGCAGGTGCCATGGGTTGACTGCTGTGCCAGGCTCGGTGCAGGAGGAGGTCACGGGACAGACCCAGCAGGTGCCATGGGTTGACTGCTGTGCCAGGCTAGGTGCAGGAGGAGGCCACGGGACAGACCCAGCAGGTGCCATGGGTTGACTGCTGTGCCAGGCTAGGTGCAGTAGGTCACTGGACAGACCCAGCAGGTGCCTTGGGTTGACTGTTGTGCCATGCTTGGTGCAGGAGGTCACGGGACAGACTCAGCAGGTGCCATGGGTTGACTGCTGTGCCAGGCTAGGTGCAGGAGGATGTCACTGGACAGACCCAGGTGCCATGGGTTGACTGCTGTGCCAGGTTAGGTGCAGGAGGAGGTCACGGGACAGACCCAGCAGGTGCCATGGGTTGACTGCTGTGCCAGGCTAGGTGCAGGAGGAGGTCACCGGACAGACCCAGCAGGTGCCATGGGTTGACTGCTGTGCCAGGCTAGGTGCAGGAGGACGCGACGGGACAGACCCAGCAGGTGCCATGGGTTGACTACTGTGCCAGGCTAGGTGCAGTAGGAGGTCACGGGACAGACCCAGCAGGTGCCATGGGTTGACTGCTGTGCCAGGCTAGGTGCAGTCGGTCACTGGACAGACCCAGCAGGTGCCATGGGTTGACTGTTGTGCCATGCTTGGTGCAGGAGGTCACGGGACAGACCCAGCAGGTGCCATGGGTTGACTGCTGTGCCAGGCTAGGTGCAGGAGGAGGTTACAGGACAGACCCAGGTGCCATGGGTTGACTGCTGTGCCAAGTTAGGTGCAGGAGGAGGTCACGGGACAGACCCAGCAGGTGCCATGGGTTGACTGCTGTGCCAGGCTCGGTGCAGGAGGAGGTCACGGGACAGACCCAGCAGGTGCCATGGGTTGACTGCTGTGCCAGGCTAGGTGCAGGAGGAGGCCACGGGACAGACCCAGCAGGTGCCATGGGTTGACTGCTGTGCCAGGCTAGGTGCAGGAGGAGGCCACGGGACAGACCCAGCAGGTGCCATGGGTTGACTACTGTGCCAGGCTAGGTGCAGTAGGAGGTCACGGGACAGACCCAGCAGGTGCCATGGGTTGACTGCTGTGCCAGGCTAGGTGCAGTAGGTCACTGGACAGACCCAGCAGGTGCCATGGGTTGACTGTTGTGCAATGCTTGGTGCAGGAGGTCACGGGACAGACCCAGCAGGTGCCATGGGTTGACTGCTGTGCCAGGCTAGGTGCAGGAGGATGTCACTGGACAGACCCAGCAGGTGCCATGGGTTGACTGCTGTGCCAGGTTAGGTGCAGGAGGAGGTCACGGGACAGACCCAGCAGGTGCCATGGGTTGACTGCTGTGCTTGGTTAGGTGCAGGAGGAGGTCACGGGACAAACCCAGCACGTGCCATGGGTTGACTGCTGTGCCAGGCTAGGTGCGGTAGGTCACGGGACAGATCCAGGTGCCATGGGTTGGCTGCTGTGCCAGGCTAGGGGCAGGAGGAGGTCACGGGACAGACCCAGCAGGTGCCATGGGTTTACTGCTGTGCCAGGCTAGGTTCAGGAGGAGGTCACGGAACAGACCCAGGTGCCATGGGTTGACTACCGTGCCAGGCTATGTGCAGGAAGAGGTCACGGGACAGACCCAGCAGGTGCCATGGGTTTACTGCTGTGCCAGGCTAGGTGCAGAAGGAGGTCACGGGACAGACCCAGCAGGTGCCATGGGTTGACTGCTGTGCCAGGCGAGGTGCAGAAGGTCACGGGACAGACCCAGGTGCCATGGAATGGTTGCTGTGCCAGGCTAGGTGCAGGAGGAGGTCACGGGACAGACCCAGCAGGTGCCATGGGTTTACTGCTGTGCCAGGCTCGGTGCAGGAGGAGGCCACGGGACAGATCCAGCAGGTGCCATGGGTTGACTGCTGTGCCAGGCTCGGTGCAGGAGGAGGTCACGGGACAGACCCAGCAGGTGCCATGGGTTGACTGCTGTGCCAGGCTCGGTGCAGGAGGTCACGGGACAGACCCAGCAGGTGCCATGGGTTGACTGCTGTGCCAGGCTCGGTGCAGGAGGAGGTCACGGGACAGATCCAGCAGGTGCCATGGGTTGACTGCTGTGCCAGGCTCGGTGCAGGAGGAGGTCACGGGACAGACCCAGCAGGTGCCATGGGTTGACTGCTGTGCTAGGTTAGGTGCAGGAGGAGGTCACGGGACAGACCCAGCAGGTGCCATGGGTTGACTGCTGTGCCAGGCGAGGTGCAGTAGGTCACGGGACAGACCCAGGTGCCATGGGTTGGCTGCTGTGCCAGGCTAGGTGCAGGAGGAGGTCACGGGACAGACCCAGCAGGTGCCATGGGTTTACTGCTGTGCCAGGCTAGGTTCAGGAGGAGGTCACGGGACAGACCCAGCAGGTGCCATGGGTTGACTGCTGTGCCAGGCTAGGTGCAGGAGGAGGTCACGGGACAGACCCTGCAGGTGCTATGGGTTGACTGCTGTGCCAGGCTAGGTGCAGGAGGAGGTCACAGGACAGACCCAGGTGCCATGGGTTGACTGCTGTGCCAGGTTAGGTGCAGGAGGAGGTCACGGGACAGACCCAGCAGGTGCCATGGGTTGACTGCTGTGCCAGGCTCGGTGCAGGAGGAGGTCACCGGACAGACCCAGCAGGTGCCATGGGTTGACTGCTGTGCCAGGCTAGGTGCAGGAGGAGGCCACGGGACAGACCCAGCAGGTGCCATGGGTTGACTGCTGTGCCAGGCTAGGTGCAGGAGGACGCGACGGGACAGACCCAGCAGGTGCCATGGGTTGACTACTGTGCCAGGCTAGGTGCAGTAGGAGGTCACGGGACAGACCCAGCAGGTGCCATGGGTTGACTGCTGTGCCAGGCTAGGTGCAGTAGGTCACTGGACAGACCCAGCAGGTGCCTTGGGTTGACTGTTGTGCCATGCTTGGTGCAGGAGGTCACGGGACAGACTCAGCAGGTGCCATGGGTTGACTGCTGTGCCAGGCTAGGTGCAGGAGGAGGTCACCGGACAGACCCAGCAGGTGCCATGGGTTGACTGCTGTGCCAAGCTAGGTGCAGGAGGACGCGACGGGACAGACCCAGCAGGTGCCATGGGTTGACTACTGTGCCAGGCTAGGTGCAGGAGGAGGTCACCGGACA